TAGTTTTGGCGTGTTTTTGGCGTTTTGATCGAGTTTTTTGTTGTACTGGTATCTTTATGTCGCGACCCGGTAACTGCCTGGCAAATGGGCTCTGCCTGGACAATTTGATATTGTCTTTGCAGCCAACAAAAATCTGCTTGGTGATTAAATTTAGGGCAATACAGGTGTAGGACATGCTTAAAAATACAAAGTTGATTCATCGTCACAAGCCTAAGCGTCCGAAGCTGGTGTGTTACGCCGAAGGGCGGTTATACCGGCTATATACAGATACAGAAGCTGGTGTGTTACGCCGAAGGGCGGTTGTACTGGCTATACAGATACAGAAGCTGGTGTGTTACGCCGAAGGGCGGTTGTACTGGCTATACAGACACAGAAGCTGGTGTGTTACGCCGAAGGGCGGTTATACAGTCTATACAGATACAGAAGCTGGTGTGTTACGCCGAAGGGCGGTTATACAGGCTATACAGATACAGAAGCTGGTGTGTTACGCCGAAGGGAGGTTGTACCGGCTATACAGATACAGAAGCTGGTGTGTTACGCCGAAGGGAGGTTATACCGGTTATACAGATACAGATACAATTCAATATAAAGATATATACACAATTCACATGGTTTAAGTTTCCTCAAATACGATAGTTTCTAAAGTCAAGTTGTGTTTTATATGAGTAAGCACATGGCATGCCAAAGACTGTATATATGTACGTTTACGAACCATGAAAAGTCTGAGCTTTCAGCTATGTTAGTCTCAAAGTCACACATACAGTCTTGGCTTGCATGAGACTTTAAGAGTGTCTAACTATCGCCATGTGATGTTATGTCCACTACTGATAAAGCTGTATTGTAATTCAAATTCCAGCCACTTCCGACAGGATAAGATAGTGTAGTGTTGTGTTTCCGTGCAAAGATTTGGCGATGGGCTGGGATGGCCGTGCGGTCAGTGACCTATTCCTGGCACCTGATGTAAGATCCAAGCAGGGGTTTGGGTTTGGGGTTATTTGTAGCGTGTCTTTAGGCTTTTTTATCGGGGTTTCTCTTTTGCACTGGAATAAAATTCAGTGTAGAAGAGAAACCCTGACAAAAAAGCCTAAAAACACGCTACAAATAACCCCAAACCTCTACTTGGAGAGTAGTTGGGATAACCTTCCAGTCAGTGACCTATGCTGGCACCTGATGCAAGATCGTGAAGACTAGTCCATTGTTCTCTGGGTTGTCCTTGGGGTACAGGACAGGTGTAGCATTGCACGGGGGACAGGTGAAACATATGCCTCATGATCTTTACCTGTCATGTCTATGTTCTAGACAAACAGCTCTTCTTGAGTATACACGAATTCGATGTTATTGTCCAAAACTCTCACAAGACCAAGAACTTGAAATACACTCACCCCATGGGGGACCGCTATCTACGTTTTAAGCAGAAATTTAAGCGAAATACTTGGAAAAACGCAGCGTGCATTTCCGACGGCCGTGAGGATCTGGCATGCTCTGCAAACTTACAAAGCCTTGGAATTGCAAACAAGAATTTTAAGGAGGCTGCAACTTGACTGGTGGTCTAGTCAACGCTGATTCTTTATCTGCGTTTCAAGAAAAATCAAGCGAAGTACTTGGAATAGATGTGAGTCCAATTCCCAGTGGTCACGACCGTTGGACAAATCCTTGATTTAAATTGCGAGCAAGAGTATTTTGGGATTGTAGCTTACTGGTGGTCTAGTTAAGACTGATCCCTGTCTACTTTTTCAGAGAAATGGAATTGAATACTTGGAAAATACGTGCGTTCATAGAGCGTTGGCATCTTTTGCAAATTGACAAAACCTTGGCATCATGTTTGGGGGACAACACAGGAGCCCCCTGAGGAATAAACACTGATTTCTAAGAAACTGTCATCTTTCCAGATTTTGCAGAAGGTTTTCTTTTTCTTTTGTAGATCACCCTCGTCGTCTACAGTTTACGGCACCCAACTGAATGTACTCTCTGGTGGACCAACTCCCCTGCTGGCATGTTATCTCTCTATTTGGCCAATTTCTACTCTTTGCAGCCGCCTCCCGAAGCCTGGTAGAGGCTACCGTGGTCAACAGATAGTATATATCGCTTTAGGCACTCTTAGTATAAAAGCTGACCTTGCTTAGAGGAAACAATGGTCTGACAGGTGAATAATAGGTGACTCTTGGGCACCATTATCATTTGTCAGGCATGCGCCTTGTCTTTAAGTAGCCACAAGAGCCCCCAGGCGACCTCGTTTGACCCTTGACCTAGCCTGTTGTATGTCTTGTCGTGGCCCTGTTACAGTCGAACCGCAGGTCACCGTAGAACGCGTTATTCTCTAAGATACGGCGTTTGCCGGGTCACGATTTGACCCCGTTGCATGGGTGTAAACAACTGCCTATAGTGCAGCAAAAAGACCTTAGACCTACACAATGTTTACATTTTTTCATATCTACAGGATTTGCCCAGTACAACCATGTAGATAGTTCGTGCATTGCAAAATGACAGCGAGTGCTACGGCCTTCCAAACATTAGCAATTTTTGGTCAGTTTATTTGTGCTTGTCTTTTTTACTATTTAACTGGATCCCGTTAGCTAATACCACAGTGTGATAGCCCACTTCTTTACCTTTACATTGATACCAATGACCCCTGGTAAATTTTATGGCAAACGGGTTTGCCCCCAAAAAAACTGTGACGATGCGCACATCGCGGTGGTCAAATTTTAGCCCAGTTGTAAGCTACTGACACACACCATCCTGAGTTTCCGCTACATTTTGATACATTTCGCGTAATGTCATAAAATTCGTTTTTTGGTACGAGAAACTGTATGAATGTGGCTACCACATGCAATATAATAAGTAATATGATAACATTCAAGTATATACAAAAAGAGGAATTTAATACAAGGTTCTGACCATTCAAAAATCGTCAAATTTGAAGTCAATCGGTTTCGAACTCCTGCGTTCGATTCATGGAACCAAGGCAGCGCGTTCCATTTTTCGCGCCGCCAACAATGTTGCAACTTTCAACCCCTGTTTGCGAAAGTTCGCAAAAAGAAGGAATCAAGTTTTGTAATCACAAACAGACTTTCTGAAACCCATTCCAAGTCAGACTTATATCATGAAGACGCTAGAGAAAGTGGGATTCATGTGCAACTATACCAATGTCAGTACATATGCCCGATGTTTGCATATTTACAGTAACAGGTCATAGTGTCCGATTTCTCCTTAAAAAATTAGGTCGTGAAAAATCAACCTGTTGTTGTATTTGTTCATGTCCAAATTCCTTCTCTTCCTTTTTCATCCGTAAAGTGGGTATCGTTTTGAAGCTTACTATTTCGTCGTTATTCTTTCACTTTCATTTTTGTTCTATGTAACTTTTAACGGAACATTTTAAAGGCAAATAAACTGTAAAGAAATTACACTTTTTCTCAAGGTCGAGCTGCAATACACATTGTGCAACTTCAAAACTAAGTACACAGGTGTCAAGCCAACATAACTACATTTCAGCCACATCTTACATTACAGGTGTATTGGTTAGAACTAGTTGCAAAAGTTTGCGATTCGAACAAAAATCGTTGAGAATTCGACTGAATGAGCCCAACTTACTATCGGTTACTATATTGTAACAACTACAGGATCCCAAAAGAAACAACACACGATAGATGGGGGAGGGTCTATACTTTATAAAACAATACACCAAATCGACGATGAAATATGGCAAACGGGTTTGCCCCCAAAAAAACTAAAGGGTACCTATCTCGAGTGGAATGATCTCCATCATGCACGGTCAACTTTGAAACCTCGTTTCTCCAACAAACACCACCGGTAATGTACATCTACGACCTTGAGCGTGACGCCGGCCCTTCTTACATCTCACATTAACGTATGACAAGGAAACACTTACGCAAAGCGGAGTTACAAGCGAAACAGTAAACAGTAGCAAACTCTCGCGGATTCTCGCGGATCACATTACCTTGGAAAAGAAGCGCGAGATTTAAACGAGATCTTAGAGAGAGCTGCGCAGAACTGATGCGCACAGCGGTCTGCGGTTCGACTGGTTACTTACACATTGCGTCAGCCGAACTTTTCAACTTGGTTTAAAACTTTCAACGTCTAGACTTGGAGGAATGATATGGGGAGGCGGGCCAAATCCTGTACGCTATTTGTTTTTGCATATACATGGCGATAATATCTTGTATTAGCTATGTAAATTGGCATCATAATACCGATCCAAATCTGGAATTGTAACCCTGAAAATCTACGGTTTTGTTGGTAAGATTATAAGCCTCAGGGAGACGCGACATCTAGCGTATGCCCTTGTAACTGCAGTTCATTTTCATGAGTGCAAGTTAATGTTTGGAGCTTCAAATTTCAAACAAATATGTCAAACCCAAAGAGGTATACCTTCTAGTGTGTTCTTTTCTGTCCCGTAGTCCTTAGGCATGAAAAAAACAACAACTAAATCTGCACCCCCTAATGATTTTCTTAAACATTGCAACAAGTTTTGACATACAATAATTTATCGCTGGTATGGACAGGCACGCAACAATAGCTAATACATTTGCATTCACTTTATGGATTATTAACGTTACATACTTGGCACATAAACGTGTTCAATGGCCAAAGACGTCAACATGAGGACCCAGTGCGTAACAAGTCTGAAATCTAAATTCCCCAGCGGCGAAGAAGCGTATGTACATGTTTTATGCAATCTAATCCACAGTGAACAATACATGTGCGTGATAATATACTAGCTAGTAGTCAGTGTGACGTCTGAACACTCAAGGTTACCAACCGGCCGGTCGATAGTTCAATATTTGATCTGCTTTTGAACGAGCCGAGCTATGACATATTTAGTGCATTTAGCGGAAACACCCAAAGCCATTCACATCATGCTGATCTCTATAGCCAAGGGAACAGATAATATGGTAAATAATTGATATAGATGTCCTCTATACAAGAACACTACAGCTACGCATATTATGACTTTGACATAGCTAGTGGCATCACCGTCTTACCTAGCGTCCATACATGTCATAGATGTACTGTGGATGGAATCCTGTGTAGGTTTCTCTACCATGGGATTTGCCTGTGTCTCCGATATGTTGCCCGAATAGCCATTGGCGTTAGCCTGCTGCTGCTGCGAATGTACGCATCGCTACCTTCACGCCCCACCATAAAAATAAACACGGGGGACCGTCCACGACACACTGTTTACGGGTACAACGACGCTCTGCTAACCGTTCTTAGAATCCGTACGGTTCCCTCAAAAATTCTCCGTTTAAAACCGCAGCATACGCTTGACATTTCTTTCAAAAATTCCGCTTGCGTTCGAAGAATGACACGGGTATATATAACAGTTATGTACCAAAATATTGCGCCGCCCCCCTCCCCCATTATTACAAATGGTGGAACCTGTAATACTAAACTAGGTCACATGGTGGCAGCCCGTGACCTCTGTTCTTTATGCCGGATTACATAAGAGCAGTCTGCTTACGTAACCGTCAAGGTTAGTATTCATGAGACGAACTTGGAAACAGTCCCAACTACATGTATACACATGTAACGTTATACATGTATGCGCCAAGGTGACTGCATTCATACATACGAGATCTGAAATGGGTCTGTAAAATGATAGTGTGTAGGTGGGTGGGTGGTTGGTAGCCTCATTCGCAGACTTCTTGGAATTTTCTTTGTGGAGGAGGGGGGGGGTACTACTACGTGATTTTCTAATGCACCATTAGAGCACAATAGCCCGTGTAAAGTCGC